AGTACTTATTTGTCATGATTTTTTCCAAATTTGTAGGTTGCCTTTTCACTTTATTGGTAATTTCTTTTGACGTGAAAAAACTTCTCAGTAAGAACAGATCCCATCATCTTTCTTTTTTTAAAACCATTACTCAAAATTCTGAATTCCTAAATATTTTCTACACTAATTTTTTTTTAATTGAAAGCTATAATTTTGATTTGGATCTTGTGGCTTTCCCTTTAGGTGTGCTGTTCTGTGTAGGAGGTCGAGGTGGATCTGGTGACCCCTTTCGCAGTATTGAGTGCTATTCTATCAACAAAGACAGCTGGTTCTTTGGACCAGAAATGAACAGCCGGAGGCGACATGTGGGTGTGATCTCTGTGGAAGGTGGGTCTGCAGTTGCCTAGAATCACATTATATGATTACAGCATTCTTTGAGACTTTTTAAAAAGAAAATTGATAAATTGTAAAATACTTTTTAGTATTTAGTAGTCTGTCAGAATATTTGGGTAGTGATTAGTGAAAGTTTATATTGATTCTCATTTGACTAATGGAATGACATAGATCATACTTCTGAACAGAATGGCAGTTGTTGAAGATTATCATGGCATGCAAGTTATATGTATGTGTTTATGCATAAGTAACATCAGTGTTTGTTGGAATCCAGTTAAAATGCTTGTTGGTTTGCAGGTAAAGTGTACGCAGTAGGGGGACACGATGGCAATGAACATTTGGGCAGCATGGAGATGTTTGATCCTCTCACCAATAAGTGGATGATGAAGGCCTCGATGAACACAAAGAGGTAGGTCTGCACAGACCCTTCTTCTGAACTGATGCTGGAAAATAAAGTTGCCTAGACTCAGAAGGCCTTATTTTGAAGTTGTTTTCTTGTCTTAGGAACTTTAGTTTCTCCAGCACTTGTTAATGTATCCAAAGTGGAGGTTTACTAGGTCTATTTATATTTTTTTAGTAACGGAATCACATAGTCATCACTACAGCTTCTACTTACATTTAAGCTTTGTGGTTTTAAAAAAAAATTTGTTTGAAATAGTTCTATGTGTTTAAAAAGTTTCACTGAGATAATTGAATTCCTAGGTCCATATGGTTTTCAGATAAGGGTAGTTTTGCTCTGTCTGTGAACTACTGGGTGGGGTCTGGAGACATCTTTGATTGTCATAGCTTGAGGGTGCACAAGTTGTGGCTGGCATCTGGCAGTCGAGACAGAGGTCAGGATGCTGCAGTGCACAGGACAGCCCATGCCTGCAAGCTACTGGCCTCGACTGCCTGTCATGGTGCCACAGTAGAGGGTGCCCCCATATGGCCTCCATAGCTTCCTGTGATGTTGACCTCTCCAACAGCCATTGTATAGCGACTGGAGTTAGCAGTAGATTTACAGTGCTCCTGAATAATCCATGGATGCTTTCAAACTGCCAGCTTTCCTACATATTGCTCTGCTTCTGGTTACTTTCTCTTGTCTAATCATATTAGCTGATGACTTAGTACAGTATGAATTAGTTGAAGAAGTAGGTGTTTCCTTGTTTTTGGACTTGGTGGAATGTTTTTAGTATTTTTCTGTTAGATAAGATGCTAACTTTAGGATTAAGGCATTAGATTTCTGTTTTTTTTAATGACTTTCACATGAACATTTATATCTCAGTTCTCACCTATAGTAATTTGAAATATATGTTGGTAAATACATCAACCAAAATGGGACAAGATTTTTAGTTATGTAATTTTATACTCTAACCTGTCCAACATTTTAATGACTAGAGTGTCTCATTTAAAGGTGGAAGGGTAACTGATAACATGATCCAGTCAGGATTCAAAAAACAGACTCTGCTGGGGGCATAGCTTAGAAGTAGAGGGCTTGGCTAGTATATCATAAAACAACAATGAAAACATAGGCTCAATATGTAATAGGCAAAATCTTGTAATCATGGTTTGCAAGGAAAACAATACAATATAGGCCACATAATTTATCAGATTATTTTAAAATAGTCACCCAAAGAGTCAAGTTGAAAAGAGTGTGGAAAATCTTTCCACACACTAAAGACCCAAAGAAGTCAGCGGAGGGCCTGGATCCCATGACAATGTGCTGCATGAGCCCACCTGAAAACTTGGAGCTCCTAATAATGCCCCTGACAAGTCCAGAGGGAGGCCAAGAGCCCATGACAATGTCTCATGCAGTCCTCTTTCAAAGATCTGTGCTAAGAAGGCTCCAAGTCAGTGGTAGTAATTAAAAGGTCTGTACCAGTGGGATGAAGGCTGAGGGATGGGCACTGGAGCCAGGAAATGATGCTTAAAGTAAGAAGCAGAGCTCCCCCAAAAGGTACCACAGCCATCCTCATCCATCCTCAGTGAAGTCCCAAGCTTCTCCAGTGATGAGAAGAGCTGAGTTCCCAACAGGAAAGCCAGCGTGACAAGCTCCACCATCTTCTCTGGAGCCAGTAAACAATGCTCTGGATAAGGACCAGAACTCCCCTAAAGTGACCTGTAACCACTCAGCGACAAGGTTCTGAGCTCTTCGGATGGTGAGAACAGCCAAGTTCATCAGCAAAGCCAGGATGACAAGCTTCTCCAGGAGAGCCAGTAGCACCAGGAGAGAGAACAACTTCCAAACCACCTAAACTTCCTCTCCAGTTCTGCCTCTTATGCTGCTGGCAGCAATCCTCTGGCGGGCACCCCCCACCCCAGCACCAGGCTGATTTAGTTCAGCTGGGTGTTACAAGTTGACCACCAGTTGTCAGCCCACCACACAAAATCTAAGAAATACCAAAATTAGAGTAATATACTAAAAACTACTTTTAGATTTTTTTAAAAAATGAATTATACCAGTACAACATGGTAAGAAATGAGGTTTGTCATGTTTCACATGGAGAAAAGCAGCTGAGCTTTTACAAAAAGGGAGATTGTAGTGATAGTGTTCTTTCTACTGGTCTTTCCATGTCGGCAGCTGTGCTATCCTGTGCGATGGCTAACATGAGTTTGGGTGTGAGAATAAAAGACTGTATGTATTGGAAAATTTGTCTTGGGTAACTGTTATGTCATTCACTTAATCTGTCAGAACAGTGAGACATTATTATTATTTATTTATTTATGTTTTGCGGAACTGGGGATTGAACTCAGGCCCTTGCGCTTGCCAGGCAAGTGCTTATTCTACTGAGTCATTTCCCCGGCTCCAGTGAGACATATTCTTTTTTTTTTTTTTTTGCTCCTCGAATGCCTTCAGGCTACATTGGCTGGCTGGAGGGTTGTGGGGATCGAACTACAACAACCTGAGGCTGACAGCTTCGTGGAAGCAGCCACTTAAAGAACTGAGCTAGGGCCAGGCCCCCGAGACATATTCTTAAGTTGAAAATAAGGTATATACAGAATGCACAAATACTGACTGGTGCAGGCCTGACAGCAGTGACGTGCAGGGCATGGAAGGAGGAAGGCTGGGCAGCAAGACACCTGAAACATGCCTCATGCAAACTGTTGAAAGGCTTTGATCCAGAGATGAGGACTTGGAGGAGTAATTGTTTTAAGGGGTGTACATTGTTCTTGTAGGAAGAAATAAATGTTTATTTCTAATTCACTATAGTAAATAGCAGTCAAATATACTATAATTCTACCCACTGACTGGAATTGTATGTTAGAAACATCACATATGCATTTTCTTCCAAATGGGAGATTAAATTGCCATTCCTTTTTTTAGATTTAAAATTTAGCAGAGATGGTAAACTGAATAGACTATGCAGTTCTGTTAGAAGACACAAGCCAAAACTAACAAACCCTAAGCTCCAGCATTGCCGCTTGTATGGTTTGCAACTAAAGTACCATTCTGTAGAGTTTAAAAATGATTTGTCATTAAAATGATGGTTAAAAAAATAAAACGAGCAATTTTTAGAGTTGGGTTGCAGCTCAGTGGTGGGATGCCCCAGCTTTGGTCCCCACTGATGAAATATCCCTACACAGAAAGCAAATTTTAATAGCACTGCATCAGAGTACATTGCCTGCCAGTTTTCTATTCTTGAGTAACAGTTTAAAAAAAAAAAAAAAAAAAACAACACTAGATGTTGTATGTTTATTGAAGTGCGAAAGATGAGATAGAAATTCAAAGAGAGCTCTGCTAAAAATACTTTTAATTTGAAAGATTCCTGGGGGGAAAAGCTAGTCCTAAAAAATACTGTAGTCATTATGTACAAATGGCACTTTAATAGTGCTTGCTTTATATAGAAAAGTTAAATTTCCATGCATAGACTGAAGTGAGGGAGGAGGTCTCAAAGTACATTTTGAATATTCATACCTTTACCTTTTTATTATACTATTTGGTTGGTTTTTTTAATCAATGACTGAATACTTCCCTAGCAAAATCCTGAGCATTTACAATAGATATACACCAGCATAAAAATGATATAGCTGCAGTTTACTTGGTCACATTTGCTTATAATTTATATTCCTCCAAATTGTCTTTTCTTCATTATTTGTACAATTTAGGTATACATAATGGTCACATTCATCATAGGGAATTTGTACCTGTACATGATATAGTTTGATGCCTCTTTTTTTTTTTTTTTTTTTTGTTCCTCGAATGGCTTCAGGGCACTTTTGGCCAGGGGGAGAGTTGTGAGGTTCGAACTCCAGCAACCTGAAGCTGAGAGCTTTGTGGAAGCAGCCACTTAAAGGCCTGAGCTAGGGCCAGGCCCCCTGATGCCTCTTTTTTTCCTTTTCCTCTCTCCTCCCTTCAACTCTTCTTCCCCTTATTTACAGAAGCTTTGTTTTCATTTTTATCCTTTTCTCATTTTTCCCTTCCTTGCTTTCCCCTCCCTCTTCTCTAGTTCCCCTGTCTTTTTCAACAATTTCTTCCTATTTCACAGTTTCTATTACACATTTTAGTTCTTATTTTACACTCTCAGTTTCTCATACCAGAGAAATAGTGAAGTATTTACATATGTGTTCTGATTTATTCATTTAAGAGTATGGTGTCAAGGTGGCATCCATTTACCTACAAATGTCTCATATTTACCCTTCTTTTTGGTTGAATAGTAGTAGTCCATTGTATTTTTAAAAAACATATCATTACCCATTCATATGGGTGATAGGCATTTTGATTGTTTCTAACATTTAATAATTACAAACACTGCTGCTATAAATATGGGTGCACATACATCACTGTGGTATCATACTTTTAGCTGGGTCAAATGGGACATGTAATCGTAGTGTTTTGGGGTTTTTTTGGTAGTAGGGATCAAACTCTGGGCCTCACCTTGTGAGGCAGGTATTTATGCCACTGAGCTATCTCCCCAACCCTTAGTCCTAGTTTTTTGGGGGAATATCCACACTGATTTCCACAGTGGTTGCACCAATGCTTTTGCCCCACATCCCCGACAGTATTTGTTATTGGTTGATTTCATTCTTTCTCTCTCTTTTTTCTTTTTTTAGACAGGGCATCATTATATAGTTCAGGCTGGTCTTGAACTTACAGGTCCAGGGATACAGCTGAGTGGCACAGTATCTGCCTGGCAAGCACAAGGTGCAGAGTTTGATTCACAGTTCAAAAAAAAAGAAGCCACTTATAACCTAGGCTGCCTTCAAATTCATGGCGATCCTCCTGCTTCAGCCTCCTGAGTGCTGGGATTCCAGGCGTGCACCACCATGTCCCATGGCTAATTTGTTGACAGTACTCATTCTTTCTGGAGATGAAATCTCAGTGTTCTTTTAATTTGCATCTCTCGAAAGACCAGAGATAATGAACATTTTTCACATATTTATCTTGTTTGTACTTCATCTGAAAAGTATGTATTCATCTCATATATCCAT